GTGAAGGTCAGTTATGGCTTCAGATTACAGCGAAAGAGTGATCTGACCTCAGGTTTTTAATAAGAAATGAGTGTGTACAAAAATATTTTGCTCGTCAGAAAGCAGACCTTCTCCTTCAGATATTTCATACTGAAAAATCTAGAAAAGCTAAATTATGCAAGGACAGATGTACTTGCTCGGGCAACCTTTGCTCGTTCTTCTCTTCGTTAGTTTTCAAATTGTCTGGTTCAGATGCATTTTGCAGATCTTAGGATGATATTCTGGCACCCAGACCCCCTGGGAGCAGATTTTATTGACAGCCCTGTCCCTTCATCAGTTTGTGGCATACAAACAGAGGCGTACAGGTAAAACCTATAGCTGGTCAGAATGCTTCCCTATCCCAGTCGGTTTCCATTAAAAACTGAGGAGCACATGACACTCATAGGAAGCAAGTACAGAATTTGCTTGTTGGTATTCTTTTCCCCTCTAAAAAAATTGTTACAAAGTGTTATGCTTAAACAGAGACATAGAAAAAATCAGTGTATTCACTGTCCTGAGATATTTACAGCAAAAAGTACAGAGACAGTGTACATTGTATTAGACTTTCCACAAGCATATATTAAAAGTAATTACATCTGAAAAAATATTTTTATTTTTCCTCTACATTTCTACAATACATACTCAGGGTTCTTTTTTTGTTTTTTGTTTTTTTGTGTGTGTGTGTCCCCTCCCCCCCATTACTTTCTTTAGTGTTAGTCAGATGAGGCAGATGGTACAGTGATTGAAGATGGGATTTTGTAGCTTTCCAGATACCTAATTTGTGTATGTATGTTTGTGCACACATGCACAATTGACCATATGCATGCTGTAAATATTTAGGTAGGTATTCACATGTTTTCCATAGGTTACAGCCACGATGGCATTATTTAATATGATGCTCATCTTCCCAGCTAGGGTAAGAGCAACCCCTATTTCAATGAACTAGGTTTTGCAGACATAATCCAGTTTTCTTTTGTGTTTTATTTGTGGCCACAAGTACAATCACTGACCTGCTCTCTCTGGTTTACTGGAGGTCACACTTTTAGTCATGCAAGAGGCAAAGATTATTTATTATAGTCAATTTACTTGGTAAGTAACTCAGAAGCTTGGGAAAAAAAGTGCAGGAACAAAATTCCCATCTGCTGCCCAAGAATGCAAGGTCCGTACTATAGAACAATGGAGGGCCAAATAAGTATTATTCTATTACTAAATCTGCAGATAAAAAGGGAAAGTCCCACACAGACACATTGAAAGAAAAACACACACTAAAACATAGTGCATTTGAATCTCGAAAGAAGCTGCCAAATGTATCTAGTTACTTAGTTTTATTAAGCTGGGAGGCTAGTAAAGACAAATAGAAGTACTTTTTAGCAGCTACCATTAAATCAATTAGCCATCAGTCTGTTTTCTAGTTGTCCAATTGGCCTCTACCTTTATCTATACACTGTTGGAGTTTGCTACTTCCAGTAGTGTTAGACCAACATGGAAACCAAATTGAGGAAAAAAAAAGGAATAAGAGAAAAAATCCCGTTATGCCAACTGTCCTTTAGAGATGGTCCATTGAAACAGGACACATTGAACAAAACGCTACTTTCAATGGACTGTGCCTACGCTATTGCCCACGTAACCATAATAAGCAAGGGCCATGGCCACTTCCTGAAACAACCAAATGCTTTCTCGCTTCAATAGTATCCTCTATTAGCAGCAGCTTCTTCCAGTAGTTTGAAGAGACATGTAACACACGGTTACATCTCTGGCAGATGGTGACTTTTTGTTTTTATTTTATAGGAGACAGAGTGCAAAACATTTTCATTAGAAACAGATACCTTAAAGATTCTTGCTGCTCTACCTACTGATGTCTCCTGACAGTCTTACTATGTAGTTGTCTGTTTTCATGACCTGGAATATGCAAGTACATACATAGGCTTCTGAATTGACTGTCAGCAGTATTAACCTCATTGGACACAAAGATCCCTTGAAGAAAAAAATTACTGAATAATTCTTTCTTCTGTTTTCACCTTAGCAAGGGGAATTCTTCCTACAGTACACAGAATGGAAGAAATACCTACAACAAAGGCAAAGATGAACAGGAGCTGTCTTGATCCCACAATGCCAGGCAGTATTTCAGGTAGTCTGGCTGGTGTGTTAATTGCTTTAGTAGCGAATAAGCTTAGAGTCAGCCAGATGGCTCAGTGGATAGAGCACTGGAGCTGGAGTCAGGAAGAACTGAATCCAAGTCTGGCCTCAGACACTTAGCTGTGTGATCCTGGGCAAGTCACTTAACTTCTGTTTACCTTGGAGGCAGTTAAGTGGCTCAGCGGATTGAGTACTAGGCCTATAGTCAGGAAGACCTGAGTTCAAATCCGGCTACAGATACTTACTAGTAAGTCACTTAACCTCTGTTTGCTTTAATCCACTGGAGAAGAAAATGGCAAACCATTCCATTATCCTTGCCAAAGAAAACCCCATGGACAGTATTGGCGTGCTATGGTCCATGAGGTCACAAAGAGTGGGACGTGACTGAATGACTGAGCAACAATAGAGTCAATCCCTGGGACACCAGTATTCTGTTGGAATTCTGGCCTCTTATACATTGACACGTGAGTAATTAGTTGCCTAAAAATTCCTCTCCATATACGGTTTGGCTTGAAATGCTGCACATCGGGATAAACCATAAAGGAAATTGCCAATAAAAATTATACTGCATCCTTGCCATAACATAATCTGATAAATAATAACAGTGTTACCATAGTATTTGGTTGCCTTGGATTCCACCAAAGGGATCTAGCTGCTTAAAATTTGCCAAGGAGATCTGAAGTGTTGAATTTGGAGTCCAAAGACCTAGGTTTGAATCCTGATTCTGCCCTGTGAGACCTTGGGCAAATCACTTTATCCTTCTTAGCAAATGGAGTTGGAATAGATGACCTCTAAGGTCCCTTCCAACTCTAAATTCATGCTTTTACCTTTAAAACAGTCCTATAGTGTACACCCATGGGGATGATATCCTAAAATGCTTTAGTGAAATTAGTTGTAGAGCTAGCTTGGAAAATCAGTTTTTGTCCAATATGACTTGAGTTCCAGGTTAGGTTACACTTATGGCTTAGCCTCAGACCCTGACAGTTGGCAGTGAGAACGAATCAGTCAAGTTTGTAATAGATTACTCTGCCATTTTCTTCCCAACTTTTGTTCTTCCTCCTTCAATACTTCCACCAAGCAGCTGGGGAAACCACTCGTTCAGTTTTCTGGCCTCACAAACAAAATCATCTGCCCCTTTGCTTAGGACCTGTATTGCCAAACCTGGTGTCATAGGAGATAAGCCGTGGTATTAACAGGGCAGTTTGGTTCTTTTGCTAGTCAATAGACTTTAGAGAAGGGGGCTGAGCTGTCTTTAGCCAGCGTGCTATTTGGGGAATGATGGCTATAACTGTTCAGTGAATTGAGGAAAATAATGACAGTGAATTCAGATTACAAGCATGTAGTGTCTAATAGCTGGACTGAAAGCCTTGTCTGGTGGGGGCAGAAAGGGAAGTTGTTTATTGGAGTACACCTTTAGTGCTTATGATTTTGTTCAAATTTCTTTCCTGTTTTTTTTTTCTTCCCTCATTCTTGATGTATATACGTATGTATCTTAAAATGAAACATCCCTGAGTGGAATACAGTGCAACATCTGCATTAAGCAGTGATTGTCATTTACAAAAAGTGAATTGAAAAGGATAGAATGTTGTCTCATGTTCGTTATATCATGACTATATCATAGATACTTGTTGATTCTCATGGAGATGGGACAAAGTGCTTGGACGTAGCGTGATGTAGCTATTGGCTAGGCAGGGCCTAAGGGAAAGAAAGCTGTTCATATCAGGTGTCAATTTCTTCACAGATGTGTTTTGAAGAGGTGCTCAAAAAGGTATAACAGATTTCAGTGCTGCTTGCAGCATGATTTGATTCTCTCTGGGACAGATTTGGATTTTTTACGGTGTCCTACAGTAAAAGAATTGAAGTATTTTCTCCAGGTCCTCAAGTGGACATCAGAGTGCTGATTCCTTTGGCCTCTTATCATGGCTGGTGGGATGTGTGATGGGTCAGTTAGATTTAGTCCCTCTCCCACAGCTACAAAAAGCCACCAGCTTTAAAGTTTCAAAGCAGCTCTAGGAAATGTGGAAACTACTCTAGTTCAAAGCTGTCTCCTCCAGAGGCAAGTGTTGGGGAGCAGTCCTTCTACAAATTCACCCATGGGACCAGGGGAGGAGAAAAAAAAATGTACACACACACACACACACACACACACACACACACACACATGCTCTGCCTCTTCATAAATTGAGTCAATTAAAAACCTCTTGGGGAAAATGAAGGAAACACATGATTCCCAGTGCAACTGAATAAGAATTAAAGGCCAACAATGGAAAGCGCTAGGATCATGGAACTAGGAAAACAAAGTTTGACATAAGTTCAAAGCTCAAAGGGAAACACCAGGCAGACACTTAGAGCTTTTCCTATCACAAGCCAATCATAAAACATCTATTGCATTTGGAAACGGCTTGGTTTAATGGAGTGCCTTCTATTACCCTGTTTTCCTAGCAATCAGTAAAGTAATCTTTCCATTAGAAGGAAATATGACTCTTGGAATTAATTCTTTATACAAAGCGCTAGCAGGAGTGACATTTACGCCAAAAAGAATTGAGTCCCTGTAGCAGCATAATAAGCCGTCTACAGCTGTCTTCTTCGACACCCAAGGTAATTTGGTTCAATGTAGTTAAATTAATTGAATATAACAGTAGTTGAGAACGAGATTCATTATTTTAAAGCCTTTTTTGTTTCCCCCTATCGGTTTAGAATTCATCAATCATTAGGGGAAAAAAGCCTCCGGTTTCTACTGGAAAAGGCAAATGCCACCATTCTGATTATCTGTGAGTTCTTATATGAACTGGAGAAAGCTAACCTAAGGAGAGTTTAAAGGCTAAAAATCCAAGTTTCCACTGAACCTATCTAAAAGACACAGGCTTTATTCCCTCTGCTGTGGGCCCCTCCCCTCCCAGGAGAAAAGGCCATATTTTAATGAAATGGTGGCTTCTGTTCATTTACAAAAGGATGGTATAACTTTCATTATTCTATACACTAAGTCTCCCTTCTCCTGATCTTCCAGGAGATCATCCAGCATAGAACAGGCATGGAAGACTCACTTGGTATTTAGTCAGCCTAAGTGACAGTCATATATATGTCCATACATGTATATCTTCATAGGCTGACTTTGTGTATTCTGAAATACACTTCTCATGTCTTTAAAAGGCTGAACAAGTGATACTACTTCAGTGGCTTAGTTTTTTAATACAGTCTAATTCTAAAATATGATGTCTTTTAAGACTCTTTCATAGCAAGTCAGTTACTGCTCCAGTTTTGCGATCTGAAGGTTTTAAAGAGATAGAGGCAGAGACAGAGAAAGACTGAGAGACAGAAACAGACTGAGAGAGAGAAATAGAGGCAGAGATAGAGTGAAGCCCCCAGAAATGTAGAGGGTACATATATGAAAATTTAGGTTTATTGCAGCTGTCTTTTATATCTGAAAACAGTAAACCCCAATAGCTGATTCTTTGCCTGGTACTCATTCATGCTACTTTTACTTCTTCTGAATAGTTCCTAGAACTAAATATTTGCATAAAATGGCACCAATACCCCTGTATTTCCATTGGTCGCATCACTTTGTTTTTTAAAATGAGTCTGAGTTTGCTGGTGATCGCTATTCATAGCCTATATTTCTCATTTGATGCTATAATTTGCTTTGAGGAGAAATCCCTTTTGTAATTAGAGATATGGGAAAAAAGAAAAAAAAGTTGCGTTTTCTAGTGGGAAATATCCAATATTTATTGTGTTGGGTCAAAAACTTTTCCAGCCACAAGTTCCCATAATATTGCCTGTTGCCTGATTCTTAGAACAGGAAAAAAAAATTATACTTTCCATTTGAACCCTCCAGACAAGGCTTTTGTATCATGGCTACAAATAGAGCTGTTAGGGTAGAGGCTGTCTATTGCATCCACTACTTTTTGTACATTTTCAGAACATTGATGCCATCCTGCCATTGGCTATGGATGGCTAAACTCTGGTTGGCAAAGCAAAAATCCAGATTACCCAACATAAAGCTAACACGTTACACAGAGGGTAAATAATACAAGAAAGCCTGACTGAACATCCTTTGCAAGTAGGCATGGGATTTTAAGCCACAGTATATGTGCATGTATAAGTAATAGTCATATATAATATATTCACATATTATATACTTATTACATACATACACAGTACTTTTCAAGACAGCTACAAATTTCCACATGCAAGTAACTATCTAAAAACATAGAAATAGGTAAGTCTAATAAGTGGAATTTTCTTAAATTATATCTGAACAATAAACAGCAAGAGTAATAATGTAAGGTACCGCTCTGTTCTCATTTTTTTTTATCTACAATAAAATTCTATGAACAGTTGTCTCCCAAAACATACCCCAATAAAATTAAAAAAAGATAACACCCAGTGTCCTATATTTGTATATTTATGGTCAGTTCCAAAAAAAAAAAAAGAGCCCCACTCAGGTGCATATTTACATTCTTCAAACTGTAGCGGTGAAAAATAATTCTATTAAGTGCAGGACATTCCTAGTGTTGCAGTAGTGACATTTTTCATAAGTCTTCTTGAGCGCATTGCTTTTGCCTTAAGAGTGATGCATTCCAGAACCACATGACAGCTCTGTGCTCCCCTTCATTTGCAGACTGTGGTACAGTCAGGGTTGAAAAGCTCCTTATATAATGGAGGAAACAGTGTGTTCACTATATCGGGATGAGATTGCTTAAATACCTGCAGTTTCTCTCCGTGCAAGTTGCAAACTGCGGTGATAGTTGGTATCTTGGCTATTAACTGTATAAGGAAACAGAAAAAGAAAGAAAAATGAAAGAATTAGTTTTAAAAGTTGGTCATCGTCTTCTTTTCCGAGTCAATGTCTACAGTCTGAGTCTTTCTGCAGTGGCACCTAATGAAACCAAACGCTTGGGGTTAAAGGTGTGGGGTGGAGTAGAGCAGACCTCAGAAAGAAGAAAGCCAACTTCATGTGTCAAGTCAACAAGGGCTTACTATGTGCTAGGCACTTTGCTAAATGCTGGCTATAAAGAAAGGCAAAAAACATTCCGTACTCTCAAGGAGGTCACAGCCTAATGAAGGAGACAAGTAATCATGACCAAAAAGAAAACCAAAAACCCCAAAACCCACCAAAATATAAACAGGATAAATTGGAGCTAATCTTAGAGGAAAGGTACTAGCATGAGGGGAAATGCTTCTTGTAGAAGGTAGGATTTTAGCTGAGATCTGAAAGAAGAAAGGAAATTCAGGAGGTAGAGATGAGGAAGGTGAGTTCATATTGGGGGACAATCAGTGAAAAAACATGCAATAGACAGACGGGTTGTCTCATCTGAGGGACAGCTCAAAGTATGCTGGTTAAAAGTTTTAGAGAGGGGGCAGCTAGGTGGCAGAGCAGGTAGAGCACCTGCCCTGGGGGCAGGAGGACCTACTAAGTTCAAATCCAACCTCAGGCACATAACAGTCACTAGCTGTGTGACTCTGGGCAAGTCACTTAACCCCATTTCCCTCATGGAAAAAAAAAAGCTTTTGGGAGGATCTGATTATACATTTCCCAGAGACTTTATATGACACCCAAGTTTACATTTTATAAGAAGTTCTTATAGGCTGATTTTAGTAGAGAAGACTTCAAACTCTGTTAAGCAGTATCCGAAGGTTTATCAGAACTGCTTTACTGTCAAGCAAATTTTTCTAATGGAATGTCTCTATACTGTCCCAAGAAGACAAACGATATAACCTGAGTTTACATACGAGAAGGACTCTTAAGCTTTTTTTAGGTCTATTTAGAATTAAACACATAGAGTAATGCATACAAGGATAGAGTTGTTAAAAAGGACCTTCAGGCTTTTCTGGTACAATGTTCATACTTTACAGATGAGGAAATGTAAAGATGAAGTGATACATCTAATGCCATGTGGCTAGAAAGTAGTAGTCTGCAAACTCAAACCCAGTTCTCTTGATTCTTAGACCACTGATTATTTCACTATATTACAGCATCTTGTACACGCATGGGAGAATCTCTCAGGCTCTCTGAATATGGGCATATAAAAACGATAGAGAAAACTTCTTGACTCGTGTACAAAAGTTCTTACTTTCCAACAAGCTTTCATTACCCACAGTGTTTTATAGATTTAGGAAACATCAAATCCTTTTTTTTTTTTTTAGCCATGCGTGGGACCCCTTATAGTCCAATATTTGTTTCCAAGGTTCCTATTTTGATTTGCACAATAAGATAGGAGGTAGTATTGGGTAGTGAAAGAAACAATGGATATTGGAGCCAGAGGACCTAGATTCAAATCTTGGCTTTGCTATTTCCTACCTGTGTGACCTTGGACAAGTCACTTAACTTCTCTAGATCTCAATTACCGTTCTCTGTAAAATGAGGGCTAGATGGCCCCTGAGGGTCTTCCTAGCTCTAAATCTATGGCTTTCAGCAACTTTAAAGATCCAGCAAAATTGTTCAGTTTGTGAAAAGAGAAAACTGACACTTAAGCGTGAGCATCTCTTGAAAGAAAAAAGATGGCTATCAACTAGAATTGCCAAAGAGGCTTCCTCCCTACTCCTGCCCTTACCCTTATTTGTTCACATACTTTTATAATGACCTTCAAAATAAAGGAGGAAATAGACAATGGAAAACTTTTGAGTGTCAGCTATACCTGAGCTTTTCCCAACTGTGTAATATTCAGAAGTCAGAAATTTCTGCTCTTTTCTTTCATTCATCCGATAACTAATGAAATAATACTTGTTTGGCAAATGGTTTTTAAATGGCACCAAGATCATAGCTGTTGGTTTATATTAAATATATATTTTAATTATATTGATTAATTATATTAATATTGGTCAATTAATATATTTATATTAAAAAGGATACAAAATACATAGTAAAACATGGGGAGCCAAATTTTTTTTTTAACAAAGCCACCTACACTGCTGATAGAAATTGACATATAAAAACAGGGTAATGTTTGTCCACGAAATGGTTAAAGTTGGATGTGAAAGCAGATGTTCCTTGCTTGCCCTATGGTTCTAAATATGCTACTGTGGCTTTTTCTTTTGCATATTGACTAAATAATACCCAATTCATGTGTAAAGAAAGAAAAAGGATGAAAATATAGGATTATACTGATACCCAAAGTAGAATCACTTTGGGAAATGATGATTTAATTCCACTAACCAGTTAATATTCCATCCCAGGAAGACTAGCAAAAGCAATTTTAGGAGAGCTTGTTCCACATCACAATTCTAGATAGAAGTGGGTTTTGTGCATGTCGAGGTCTCAGACCACTTTCTAAAATTTTTCTTGTTTGATTTAGCAGAACTAGAACTTATTTATAAATAAGCTAAGATTTCTTATCTCACCTTCTAGGACTCAAACTCCCTAAACTTTGGAACTAGTCTTAGATATCAAGAGTGGAACTGACCACTGTACTAAATGCAGGTCTGCAGAGAGTGGGTCCCAAGCCTCAGGTGGTCTTTCTCAAGGGGCAGGTTGGAAAAGCAAAATCACAACAGTGAGACTGACCCATTAGTTCTATTAATTCAACAAGGAATATCTGCTTAAAGTTGCTAAATCCTCTATTGAGCAATGCATTTAAATATGATCCCTTTCAAAGAGGAGATTGCAGAAATCTTACTATATTTGGACGGTTATGCCCGATGCAAAGCATTACCAATGTTATTTTGCAATAATATAAGTAAATACTTTATAACCAAACTAACATAAAGTTACAAAAACTTGCTATAATTTTACTTAGTTGACACCGATTCATATCATTGATTCTGTGGAACTAACTGTCCCTCCTTAACCTAATTTTGCCTAATATTATGTTATTATAGACCTAGTTAATGACTTGAGATGAGTATACCTGGGCAGTGAAGAGGCTGTGGGGGCAATTGAGTAATTGTAGAGCCCAATCTGACATTTAAATAGCATCTCTGAATCATGAAACTGCAAGAAAACCATGATTCTAATCATAATTTTTTACTTTAAAAAATTTTTTTATTCTAACTTTAAAAATCACAAAAAAGCATACACACACACATACATATACAGAAAAGGAAGATTATATATGAAAGTATGAATCTCTATTCCATATTGCTTATTAAAAAAAACTACATAAGAATCTCAAGTTATTTCAAAACTGTCCCGCTTGCCTATTCTTTCTTTTTTTTATTTAAAAATTTGTTTTTGCCTATTCTTTTGATTTGAATGATTAAAAAAAGTTTTATTGGTGCTTTTTTTATTTCACTGCCATTCCTAAACAAAATACACCCCACCCCTCACCACCATTAGAAACCTTCCTTTGAAAAAAGAAATATAGTTATCAAAAACAAACTAACACATTGGCCTCCCTGTAGAGAGGAAGGAAGTATGTTCCATCATTAGTCCTCTGGACTATGTACTGTCTAAACTTGGACGTTACATTGATCTCAGTTCTCATCTTCTTTAGTGTTGTTTTCATTTACATTATTAGTTATTGTGAATATTGCTTTGGGTGGTATATAATTCACTTACAAAATACTCACTGGGATAGTTTTTAAGGTTTCTATGAGTCAGTTCATATAGGAGGTCTTGTAAGTTCATGGGAAAAAGGTAATATGATTAGTTCTTGGTTTAAATAAATGTGGGAAAAGCAGAATCATGAATTTCTAGTTTTCCTACATTGATTCAAATGAGTAACTGATTTTATTAACCAGTGATTTGATGAAGCATGATCCATTCTACTACTGTATAAATCATCTTAACTCCATTGGCATAGAATACTACATTAGCATATTTTGACCCAATGATGAATTTATAGGAAATCAGTATGTTTAGAATGAGGGTTGGTATTTTATTTCTGTTGTTGGCTGTTGGCACTTGCAAAATTGATAATAACCTATTTTTAAAAAAACAAATGCAGATTCTTCTTATTTTATGTGAAAAGCCAGGGCCTAAGATGATGCTCATTCTACACTTTGAGCTCCTCCTTCTTTTGCTGTGGCTCTAAGCCATCTGCACTGCTTGCCTACAAAAGGGACCTGATGCTGATGATACAACTCCTTTTGAATTTTCCGTGAGAACAAATAATAAATGAGAAGAAAATCCCTCTACAAGCCTATGTGTTATAGACTTGGTAATTTTAAAAGTCTCTAATAAGCTGTTGAAATAAAGGCTGCAATGGGAGAATACAAAGTTCAGCATCAGTCTTGAGAAACAATACTGCAGGATGCCTCTCAGGAACAGCAGCATCTTCTGTCAGGGCCCAGAAGGGTCTACTGAAGGAAGCAGCAGGAAGTCACTTATTGCTCATTAATATTATGTAGTACAGCAGGGGGATGTGCATTTCAAAGGGAGGGCAAAAGCAGCCTTAGCAGCACTTAATGGCACAACAACTTTTCTGACAGCTGGGGAGGTGATTCAGATGCACTCAGAGAAGGAGGGGGTGGGGTTGGGATTGGAGGTTCCAAAATCTAAGGAAATTCCTTCACTTTTGAAATAATCACACTATCAGGACCACAAAGAGAGCCATTTTAAGTTTGCTTCATTCATATAAGTGCTTCCTTGCAACAATGAAGCTTTAGTTATATCTACAGGGGTTGTCAATAAGGAAAAAAAAATTTTTGAGGAATGAGAATATTACTTTGTTCATCCCTAGGAAGTGTTTTCTGGGAAAAATTAATAATTTTTGAACCTTGAAACGATAGGAAACTGGACCAGCTGTTACAAGTGATGTGGAAAGAATGGAAGCTGGAGATAATGAAGGTTCACAAGGGGCATCTAGAATGTCAGGGTGCCTCACTCT